TTTCTTTTCATGATCTAAATGAGACGTTTATTGGATTAGGGTTCTTCTCTGCAGACCTCCGAGGTGGCCTGTAACAAAGAACTTAAAAATCCCAATGACTATACTAATTGCCCTGGGATTAAAAACAGAAAACTTGATTCGGCATTACATCAGTACACCAAAAACAGAGGAAATTTATTAGTTTCATTATGGGCCCTGATCCTTTCAACTAGAGTGGGAGTTAGTGGGCAAGGCTTGGTTATAGCAAGACCTTCATTAGAAACTTAAAGAATACACCATTGATATGGGCCTAATTGTGCGTTACCAAATAAGCCTTACATACTTTTGAAGTGAGGAGGAAAGGCATATTTTAAAAAATTGATGCAAAAAATGTGGCAAAGATACAGAACTTGTCATGAACAGCTAAGAATTAAATTGACATCAGTGGACAGACTCTGCACTGCAAAGTCAATTGATAAGCAAATATGTCGGCAACAGATTAACCCCAGTACTCAGCTCAGGTGACAGCCGCACAAAGGTCACAGTACTGACCTCACAGGTTGGTCTTTGGGTCATTGTAGCTTATAAAAGGCTGTTGTAGGGTCAAAGTCTTATAAGGCTGCAATCTGACAACTCAATTTAAGCTTCCAGGCAGATGACACTAAGAGGATGGTTAATTGCTCACACCATTTGCTATTGGAATGATGCTTGTTAATGGAACAGAGATATTCAAGTAGCAAAAATACTAAGAAGCATCAATCTATCTATTAAGAAGCTTTCAAGGAAAAATTGTTTATCATCTCAGTATCCATTAGCTATGTGCTATGTGATCAGTATGGCTCATAGTATCTATTGGAAACGACCTTTTACAAAATTAAATGTTTTAAAGCTCAACAAATGACAACAGAGGTCAGTGTTCTCCCGTACAACGCAACAGTTATGTTTGTTCACGATGGTAAAGGCATCACAGCGGTCACATCATCAAAGTTTCAGTTCTACCTATCCACAGTAAGACCGATATGTTGTGAATTCTGAAATTACGTCGTACTATCAAGTTAGTTGCTTGATTTGGTAACTTAGGATGTGTGTCAAAGAGAGAAATATTTAAAGTTTTGAATGTTTTGCCTTTACTGATTAATAAAAGGATCAACTGAAAGACAGGAACATTGAGTGTTCTTGATTTTAATTTATTGTTAGGGTTATTTCATTTTTCTCTCATTTTAAAACCTTACACCCTGGGAGATTGATTGGTCCAGTGGAAGCAGCGCCCATTTCAACCAAATTTAAGTTTTTCAAATTGATGCAAGACTCCTGCAGCTCTTTAAAAATCCTCTGTATGGTAGATTCCTTATAAGGGATACAGTCAGGCTGTTTATTTTCAGGTATACAAAAATATACCCTAAAAATGAACAAGATTGTTACACACTGATTTTACTTTCCACTAAATGGATTGCGATAGATATAATTTGGGGCAGGGGATGAAATAAGCATACTGGCTTTTACTGTATTGTCGTTTCAATATCACAAAAGGTTTTAATCTTAGTTTTCAACATTTCCTTGGACAGGTTTTGTCTTTTATGGAACTGAGTGAAAGATGTACAGGAATAGAACACTGCAACTCTAGGTGAAAGGAGGACACCTGTTTGATGTGTCTCCACTCTTTGGGAGTTTATTCTTGACAATCCATTGCTGACAATGGCTGTGTCTCACCATTTACTCAGTGCCATACATCAAGAAGTCTTTTAGCATAACACATGGGAGGGACTTGCTCTTCATTTGCTGACATCCTATCCTGTGCTGCTTTCCGTGGTTGTTCGAACTCACTCATCCAGTTAAATGGGGGTGGGTGGGGGGTGGGGGCAGTGTTCTATTATACCCCTCATGTCTGTCGACAGATTTTGAGCAGTCAAGTTGAGTTACTTACCAGAGAATTCCCAGCCTCTGACCCATTCTCGTAACCAAAGTATTTATATAGTGGTCAGTTCAGCTTCTAGACAATTATAACCTCCAGGATATTGATAGTGGATGCTCAGCAATGATTACGCCATTGAATGTCAAGCAAAGATGATTGGGTTTTATGTGTTGGAAGCAATCATTGCCTGGCACTTGTGGGTTTGGAAGGTTCTGTCGGAGGATGATCCTTGGTGAATTTCTGCAGTGCACCTTATAGATAGTACACACTGCTGCGCAGTGCGTCGGTGGCGGATGGATGCTTGTGGATGCAATGCCAAACAAGCGGGCTGGTTTGTCCTGGGTGATGTCAAGCTTCTTGATTATTGTTGGAGCTTCACTCATCCAGGCACATGGGGAGTATTCCATCACACTCCTGACTTATGCCTTGTAGGTGGTGGACAGGATTTGGGGAGTCAGGAAGTGAGTTATTGGTGTAGTATTCCTAGCCTTTGATCTTCTCTCGTAGCCACAGTATTTATATGGCTAGTTCAGTTCAGTTTCTGGTCAATGGTAATCACCAGAATGTTGATTCAATAATGGCAATGACATTGAATTTCAAGGGATGGTTAGTTTCATTCTTGTTGAAGACGGTAATGGCATGCATGTTACTTGCCACATGTTAGCCAAGTCTGGATATTGTCTTAGTCTTGCTGCATTTGAACATGGGCTGCTTCAGTATCTGAGGAGTCACAAATGATGTTGAACATCATGCAATCATCAGTGAACATCTTAATTTCTGATCTTAAGATGGAGGGAAGTTCACTGCGAAAGCAGCTGAAGGTGGTTCACTCACCATCTGCCACAGACCCAGTCTAGGAGCTGTGCCCTTTGGTCTTGGCCAACTCAGTCAGCAGTGATGCTAATGAGCCATTCTTGGTCACGAACACTGATGTCCCTCATCCAGAGTATTTTGTGCCCTTGTGTGCCCTCCAAATGTTGCTCAACATGGAGGAGAACTAATTCATTGGCTAAGAATGTTTCCTTACCCATGTTTCATCCGATGCCATGAAACTGCATGGGGTCCAGAATCAATACTGAGGACTCCGATAGCAATTCCCACGCAATTGTATACCACTGTGCCAAAACTTCTGGTGGATAGTGATGGTGGTGTCTGGGACTTAGTCTGTAGGGTATGATTCCATGGGAATGACTATTACAGGCATTGGTCTGCTTGTCTATGGGGCAGCTCTCCCAATTTTGGCACAGGTTAGCAAGCACTTTGCAGGGCCGACAGAGTTGAGTGTGCTACTGTTATTTCCAGTGCCTTGGTCGACGCAGTCTGGTATAATACTTTGTAGCAGTCTGATATAACTGGTGGCTTGCTCAGCCATTTCAGAGGGCTGTTAAGAGACACCCACAGTGTTATGTTGGCCAGACCAGGTAGCAGATATTTCTTCCTTAAAAGGACATTATTAAACCGGATTTTACCACAATCAACACAGGTTCCATGATCACCATGAAACTAGATTTTAGTTCAAGCTTTATTAATTGAATTTAAATTTCACAAAATGGCTGGATTCACACCAATGGTCCCAGAGCTTTAGCATGGGTCTCTGGATTACTGGTCCAGTGATACTAATGCTACACCTCTACTTGAGTAGTTTCATCCCTTCAGCTTTTCAATTCTGGTAACATCCTTGCACATCTTTATTCCACTCTCATGTTTCAATATCCCTTTTTGTGATATTGATAACAGAACCACTCAGTATTGCACACGATCTAACCTTGATTCTACTTAAACTGAGCATTACCTTCTTGCTTTTGAGTTTTGAACCTCCAGAAGTGAAAGCTTCAATTTGGATGGCCTTATCCTGTGTTACTACTTTCAGTGATTGATGTATCTGTGTTCTCTTTATTGTTTTACCCATTTGGATTCTAATCTTCCACCAAAAAATAGTCTCCTTAATTCTCATAACATATCATAATTTGCCTTACAAAAGTTGACGTCATCTAATGGGATTATGGGGGGAAGGCAGAATAGGGTTGAGAAACATATCAGCCGTGATTGAATGGCAGAGCAGACTTGATGGGCTGAATGGCCTAATCCTTCTCCTCTACCTTATGGTTTTAATCACTCTAACACCATTTATCTCTTTGTGCGTTTTGATGCTGTCTTTCACAATGTTTGCAATATCAACCAAACAGACACCATCTATGACTTTTGACAATGGCCCTCCATTTCCTAAGTAGAAATCATTCAAGTAAACAATGAGTAGAATGAGCTGAATGTGTGCAATAGAAGCAATGAATTTTTTGAGTCTTAGTATGAAAAAGATTGCTGAAAAATGTGTTATAAACACGGTTGCCAGATTAAGTGTCAGGAAACTTTCAGACACCAACCCGCATCCGTAGTCTTCATGCTGGCTTGCAGTTTCTTCTCTTGTGGATGCATACAATCAATAAAATGTAACATTCTGTATACAGAATGACTAAGAATCAAACTGTGAGAAGCTACAAATGTTCTTTCAAAAAAAATGTTAAACTTAGAGTTGTGCCTAAAACAACAAAAAAAACCCAAAATTCAGTTTCTCTTCACTATTCAGAGATTAAAATCCTGCCTTAACAGGAACAATTACATAAATCCAGTAAGCTGTCTAGAGGTTAACCACTTCCCTAACAATCATGCCAAACCCACTACAAAGTCTGCGTTTAAAAGAATAGGTCCCTCAACAATGGTTGGAACATAATTAATGTACTTAAGCAGTGTACACACTGATTCAAAACTTCATTCAGATGTTGTCTACACAAGTACATTTTTTTCTCTCCTTAACATCACACCTGCAAGATTCCTCCACAAAATACCCTTGCACATTTCTTGTTTCAAAACTGCCTGTGGCAATCACAGAGTTAAGCAAAAAACAAGCTATCTAGTTGCAGTGTGCCCACTCAAAAATCTAAGGACCTGTCATTGTTCGATTCTGCTTTTCGAATAGCAATTCCATTATCAGCATTGGTGGAGTAATTATTAGCTGCATTCTCCTTGAAGGCAAGATCAAAGGAACCTGTGTAAACCCTGATTATCAATATTACAGTCAGAGAGAAAAACATCAAAACATGACTTCCTTTACCTTCAGGACAGCAATGAATGGCACAAAGTTAGCCCTCTGAAGCCCATTTTTATAGAGGTCTGAAAGAGAAAATTGGTATTAGCTTTGCTACTTAGCTAGATAATAGCATTTCCTTTTTTACTTTGGCAAATACATCCCCCCAACAATAGCAGATAATAACAAGACCAAAGACACAAAATTGATTCCTGCTTGAGCAATACAGAGAGTTCATTTTATTGATCAGTGATAGTTATTATGTGAACAAGAGCACAAAGTCCACAGACCATCTGAAGTAGAAAAGTCTACAATGTAGACTTGTGACACAAGTCAACTTTGAAAGAGAGAGAGATAAAAGGTTTATTTTTATACAAGGACCATATAAATGCCTGGTGCTGCCACTACTCACATACAGAGGGATAGTCCACCAGAATACTTTTAAAATAAATTATGATGAACAGATTCAAGTTGTATGTAAGAGACAACTTTCGTGGTTAATATATGTTTAGAGGTATTCACGAATAGTTGTTGGAACATCTGCCTCTTCAGCACAGAATGTTCGATTTCTTTAAAAACTGGTTATTGGCAAGAACCAGGCTTTTAACTCACTACTATCATCACATTTTACTGAAGTATCATAACCGATCTAAATGACAAAGCAGCTCAGAAGTATGGACCATTAATGCCATTTGAATGTTTTATTCGGGCCTACCCCTAACCATTCCACAATCTCACGTGGTTAGAAAAACTGAACCAGAACCGAAACATGCTCAGACCCTGGTCTAATGTTTATTGCTGAGTTCATGCTTTATTAGTCTCAGTCTGAGTGTGATTGATCTCAGTGCCATTGTTTTGGGAATGAGAGTGGGGGTGGGGTGGGGGTGAAAAACAATAAGGTAGAGCAGAATGGGAGAAAGTACCTGTACTTGAATGTCTGGTGAGGATAGGATTGTTCTCAGCTGTTCTTTCCACTGAAGACATACATCCTGTCAAACTTACATTTGAAGAATAGCCATTTTGGAGTGATAAAGATGGCAACCAGCATTTGCAGGTCAATATGTCACCAAGGAACCCCCATCCTCGCAAGAAGAGTTAAAACGTGCCAAAGAAAAAGGAAGAAAATTCTAGCCGGTAAATTTTCATGGATATAACCATTTGCCAGTTGTTTCACTAAGATTAAATGGTACTTTACGTTTTTATAATGCTATAGAATTCACCATTTAAGAAATATTACAAGGAACAGAAATAGGTTCTGTCCCAATTGTTGCCCAGCACATCTTGCTCAAAGTGGTACTTTGTGTCAGGGTAACAGGATCAGCTGCAATGATCCATGCTGTTAAGCAGCAACCAACCAAGACTGTCCATCTCATATGATTAACAGGTACTTGAAGTAGTGTACTGAAGGACTGTCAACACTCGTTCAACTGTAAGCTAACAATGAAGTCATCAAGCTCCAGAAAAAAGACTTAATGGCAATGCTAGGTGGAAGAAGCTGCAGAGTTGAAGGTCCCATGAACAATGCTGCGTAGCAAATGAGATTGGAACATGCACAGTAGAATTAAGCCAGACACAAGGATGGCTGCAGTCTGGAAGCAGACCTGGTCTTATCACTGCAACCTCAAATCCAATAATGAACCTGTACATTTTTCAAACTTCATTGCTAAATAGAATTTGAGCTACAGGGAGCGGCTGAACAGTTTGGGGCTATTTAGCAGTGAGAGCAAGGACCAGGGGGCTGCCGGGAAGTAAGTTTCCCAGTTAAAAACTTACCTCGTGCAATCAGCGACCTCCATTTTTTGCAGCGGCAGCGGCAGCGGGAGCGGTGAGAGCGAGGACCAGGGGCCTGCTGGGAGGTAAGTTCTTCATTTCGGCAGCGGAGCTGAGTGGGAGTGGTCGAATTGCGCTCTCGGAAGTTGAGTGAACTGATATATTTGGGCAGTGGGTAAACCCGAGACACTACACGTGTAGTGTCTCCCCACCTGCCCTCCTCCTCTGACCAAATAAAAAGTCTCTGGTGTGTTGATAAGGTAAGTGTTTTTCTTTTTCTTTTTTTTAAATCGTGTGCTGGTAAGTGGAGTGATTTGGTACAAACTTTTTTCATTTAATTTATCTAGTATTTGATATTATAGTAGGACTAAGTTAAGCCTAAAAGTAAAAATGGCAGGAGATCCCAGACCCGTGTTATGCTTTTCTTGCTCAATGTGGGAGCTCAGGGACGTGGCTGATGTCCCTGACTCCTACACGTGCAAGAAGTGTGTCCAGCTGCAGCTCTTGTTAGACCACATGATGGCTCTGGAGCTGCAGATGGACTCACTTTGGAGCATGCGCGATGCTGAGGAAGTTGTGGATAGCACGTTCAGCAAATTGGTCACACTGCAGATTAGGATTGCTGAGGGAGAAAGGGAATGGGTGACCAAAAGGCAGAACAAAAGCAGGAAGGCAGTGCAGGTGTCCCCTGCAGTCATCTCCCTCCAAAACAGGTATACCGTTTTGGATACTGTTGGGGGAGATGGCTCACCAAGGGAAGGCAGCAGTAGCCAGGTTCAGGGCACCATGGCTGGCTCTGCTGTACAGAAGGGCGGGAAAAAGAGTGGAAGGGCTATAGTCATAGGGGATTCGATTGTAAGGGGAGTAGATAGGTGGTTCTGTGGTCGAAAATGAGACTCCCGAATGGTATGTTGCCTACCAGGTGCATGGGTCAGGGATGTCTCAGATCAACTGCAGGACATGCTGAAGGGGGAGGGTGAACAGCCAGCTGTCGTGGTGCATATAGGCACCAATGATATACATAAAAAACGGGATGAGGTCCGACAAGCAGAATTTAGGGAGTTAGGAGCCAAGTTAAAAAGTAGGACCTCAGAGGTAGTAATCTCAGAATTGCTACCAGTGCCACGTGCTAGTCAGAGTAGAAATGAAAGAATAGGCAGGATAAATGAGTGCCTTGACAGATAGTGCAGGAGGGAGGGGTTCAGATTTTTGGGACATTGGGACTGGTTCTGGGGGAGATGGGACTATTACAAATCGGACAGTCTACACCTGGGCAGGACTGGAACGAATGTCCTAGGGGCTGCTTTTGCTAGCGCTGTTGGGGAGGGTTTAAACTAATGTGGCAGGGGGATGGGAACCAAATGAGGAGGTTAGTGGACAGTAAGGAGGTAGTAACTAAAGCCTGTAAGGAACTAGATAATGAAGTCAGTGTGACTAAGTGGAAGAGTAGGCAGAGAGCAGATGATGAACGCAAAGGGACAGGTGGTCTGAGATGCATTTGTTTTAATGCGAGAAGTGTGGTAGGTAAGGCAGATGAACTTACGGCTTGGATTAGTACCTGGGAGTATGATGTTATTGCTATAACTGAGACTTGGTCGAGGGAAGGGCAAGATTGGCAACTAAATATTCCAGGATATAGATGCTTCAGGTGGGATAGAGAGGGAGGTAAAAGGGGTGTAGGAGTTGCATTACTGGTCAAAGAGGATATCACAGCTGTGCTGAAGGAAGGCACTGTGGAGGACTCGAGCAGTGAGGCAATATGGGCAGAGCTCAGAAATAGGAAGGGTGCGGTAACAATGTTGGGGCTGTACTACAGGCCTCCCAACAGCGAGTGTGAGATAGAGGCACAAATATTTAGACAGATTATGGAAAGATGTAGGAGCAACAGGGTGGTGGTGATGGGAGATTTTAATTTTCCCAACATTGACTGGGATTCACTTAGTGTTAGGGGTTTAGATGGAGCAGAATTTGTAAGCAGCATCCAGGAGGGTTTTCTAGAGCAATATGTAAATAGTCCAACTCGGGAAGGGGCCATACTGGACTTGGTGTTGGGGAATGAGCACGGCCAGGTGGTTGAAGTTTCAGTAGGGGATTACTTTGGGAATAGTGATCACAATTCCCTAAGTTTTAGAATACTGATGGACAAAGACGAGAGTGGTCCTAAAGGAAGAGTGCTGAACTGGGGGAAGGCCAACTATAGCAAAATTCGACAGGAACTGGGGAATGTGGATTGGGAGCAGCTGTTTGAGGGTAAATCCACATTTGATATGTGGGAGGCTTCTAGAGAGAGGTTGATTAGAGTGCAAGACAGACATGTCCCTGTGAAAATGAGGGATAGAAAGGGCAAGATCAGGGAACCATGGATGACAGGTGAAATTGTGAGACTACCAAAGAGGAAAAAGGAAGCATAAATAAGGTCTAGGTGACTGAAAACAGACGAAGCTTTGGAAGAATATCGGGAAAGTGGGACCAATCTGAAACGAGGAGTTAAGGCGGCTAAAAGGGGTCATGAAATATCTTTAGCAAACAGGGTTAAGGAAAATCCCAAAGCCTTTTATTCGTACATAAGGAGCAAGAGGGTAATTAGAGAAAGGGTTGGCCCACTCAAGGACAAAGGAGGGAAGTTATGCGAGGAGTCAGAGAAAATGAGTGAGATTCTTAATGAGTACTTTGCGTCGGTATTCACTGAGGTGAGGGACATGACGGATGTTGAGGTTAGGGATAGAGAGGTTTGATTACTCAAGGTCAAGTCGGCATAAGGAGGGGGGAAGTGTTGGGTATTCTAAAAGGCATTAGGGTGGACAAGTCCCCAGGTCCGGATGGGATCTATCCCAGGTTACTGAGGGAAGCGACAGATAAAATAGCTGGGGCCTTAACAGATATCTTTGCAGCATCCTTGAGCACGGGTGAAGTCCCGGAGGACTGGAGAATTGCTAATGTTGTCCCCTTGTTTAAGAAAGGTAGCAAGGATAATCCAGGTAATTATAGACCGGTGACCCTGATGTCAGTGGTGGGGAAGCTGCTGCAGAAGATACTGAGGGATAGGATCTATTTACATTTGGACGAAAATGGGCTTATTAGTGATAGGCAGCATGGTTTTGTGCAGGGAAGGTCATGTCTTACCAACTTGATAGAATTCTTTGAGGAAGTGACAGAGTTGATAGATGAGGGAAGGGCTGTAGATATCATATGCATGGACTTCAGAAAGGTGTTTGATAAGGTTCCCCATGGTAGGCTGATGGAGAAAGTGAAGTCGCATGAGGTCCAGGGTGTACTAGCTAGATGGACAGAGAACTGGCTGGGCAACAGGAGACAGAGAGTTGTAGTGGAAGGGAGTTTCTCAAAATGGAGAACTGTGACCAGTGGTGTTCCACAGGGATCCGTGTTGGGACCACTGTTGTTTGTGACATACATAAATGATCTGGAGGAAGGTATAGATGGTCTGATTAGCAAGTTTGCAGATGACACTAAGATTGGTGGAGTAGCAGATAGTGTTCAGGACTATTGGAGAATGCGGCAGAATATAGATAGATTGGAGAGTTGGGCGGAGAAATGGCAGATGGAGTTCAATCCAGGCAAATGCATGGTGATGCATTTTGGAAGATCCAATTCAAGAGCGAACTATATGGTAAATGGAAAAGCCCTGGGGAAATTTGATGCACAGAGAGATCTGGGTGTTCAGGTCCATTGTACCCTGAAGGTGGCAATGCAGGTCGATAGAGTGGTCAACAAGGCATATGGCATGCTTTCCGTCACCGGACGGGGTATTGAGTACAAGAGTTGGCAGGTCATGTTACAGTTGTATAGGACTTTGGTTCGACCACATTTGGAATACTGCGTACAGTTCTGGTCGCCACATTACCAAAAGGATGTGGATGCTTTGGAGAGGGTGCAGAGGAGGTTCACCAGGATGTTGCCTGGTATGGAGGGTGCTATCTATGAAGAGAGGTTGAGTAGATTAGGATTATTTACATTAGAAAGACGGAGGTTGAGGGGGGACCTGATTGAGGTCTACAAAATCATGAGAGGTATAGACAGGATGGATAGCAAGAAGCTTTTTCCCAGAGTGGGAGACTCAATTACTAGGGGTCACAATTTCAAGGTGAGAGGGGAAAAGTTTAAGGGAGATATGCGTGGAAAGTTCTTTACGTAGAGGGTGGTGGGTGCCTGGAACGCATTGCCAGCGGAGGTGGTAGAGGCAGGCACGATAGCGTCATTTAAGATGTATCTAGACAGATACATGAATGGGCAGGGAGCAGAGGGATACAGATCCTTGGAAAATAGGCAACAGGTTTAGATAGAGGATCTGGATTGGCGCAGGCTTGGAGGGCCGAAGGGCCTGTTCCTGTGCTGTAATTTTCTTTGTTCTTTGTTCTTTGTATTTTCCCTCCAACATTACAGGACAAGGGATGACCTTATAGAGGTTTAAAAAATCATGAGGGGCATGGACAGGGTAAATAGACAAGGTCTTTTTCACAGGGTAGGGAAGTCCAAACTCAATGGCAAAGGTTTAAGGTGAGAGGGGAAAGATTTAAAAGGGACTTAACGGGCAACATTTTCAAGTACAGGGTGGTGTCTGTATGGAATGAGCTGCCAGAGAAAGTGGTGGAGGCTGGTACAATTACAACATTTAAAAGTCATCTGGATGGGTACATGAATAGGAAGGGTTGAGAGAGATGTGGGCCAAATGGGACTGGATTAATTTAGGATATCTGTTTAGCATGGACCAGTTGGACCAAAGAGTCTGTTTCTGTATTGTACAACTCTATGACCCTGTAAATAAAGTCAATAATAGAAACCAAACTATATAGCTTAAATATACAGCCTCCTTCAGGACCAAATTATGGTGATAAAGTTACAAGCCATTAACAACATTCAGAAAGCAAAGCCTCCAGGCCTTAAATTCCTGCAAAAGCTTCACTAAAAAAAACTATGGTCAGACTCACTGTCTTCACTGGGACCACCCCTGGAATGCTAACCCCCAATTCTATCACAGGTCAGATATATCAATAATTAGGATAGATAAAGATTTCCACAACTATATCTCCTATAGAATTAAACTTACTCTTAAATCTTTATGTCCATAAATTATACTATGTTGCCAAAATTTTATGAAACTTGTTCACCAAGGTTGGATAAGGTTTATATGTGGGAGGAAGCCTTGACAGCTCCTGAATGCTATTCATTATGCGAGTCTGCCTGGGGTACTCTCAACAGAAGCATAAAAGATTACTGATCAAGAAAAAAAAAGAGAAAATATTGCTGCAGGTTTTGGAGTACAATAAAAGCTTGATGAGGACTTAACCTGATTTAGTTTTTTTTTTCCAACACACAGCAATGCATTTAAGTGTTAAGTTTATCTCAATACAGAGCAGGAAAAACTCTTGGATTCATTAAAAATTAGCTAAAGATATAAATAGTGACCCAAATATTAACTTGTAAAGGCAAGTAAGTGGAACAGGTTGCAATTTCAATTGCCCTAAAGCAACAAGTTAAGCTGATAGTTATGTGACAACATCTAGGAAGGTTAGAGGAGTGTCAAAGTGAATTTCTTTTCTCCTTTAAACAGTATGAATCATTCAGGCTACTCCTACCCATCTTCGTTTCTGCATACCATTGTCAAGGAATAAATGGAAATTGCGCTCCCAACCTCCAGAATTACACTTTTGCAATCAACTTCTAGATTGAACCTACTACAATGCCACACATTGCTCCCCTCTACCCCCATTTTCTGTCCCATCCTCTCTAATTCGTCTGACCAACAGCTCGTCAGTGTCTCATCAAGTACTATGCATTTAAACAGCATGATCAATGAAGTTGTTAATGTATGCAGTAATGCTCAACCAGTGAGACACTACACTGCCAAAATGATCATAATCACATTTAATCCATTTCTTACTGGTCTTACCTTCAGGTGGTCTATTAGACGTGGCAACAACAACAACACCATTTTGAAACAGGTTTTCAAAGAGCTGCTTCAGTATCATGGCATCAGCAATATCTGTAACCTTACAAAGTAGAAATAAAGCAATAAACCACCAAGATCTTTCACGTATGTAACTGAATGAGGCATCTAGTCATCAAATGTAACACAATAAATCTTAAGTGTTTCAAACATAAACATTTTATCATTTAATTAATTAGGTATTTCATAAAGGATGCTCAAATGGACCTGTGCTATCTAAAATTGAAAGTTTGAAGATTAAATCTGTTGAAAAATATTTGAGCAAGAAAATAACATCAAATATGAACTGCACATTATAAAATTGAGTATGATTTGCATATGAACATATAAATTACATGATGCAGGCCACTCAGCACCTCGAGTCTGTTATACCACTCAATAATATCATGATTGATATGATTGCGTCACATTCCTGCCAACTCCCAATAAACTTTCACCCCCTTGCTTATTGATAATGTACAAACCTGTGCCTTAAAAAATACCTAAGTACTCTGCTTCCACCATATTTTGAGGAAATGAGTTTCACAGATTCATGATCTTTTATGATAAAAAAATCTACACATCTGATGTCTTTAAACATGCAACGCCAGATTTGCAAACAGATACCATGAGTTCTAGATTCTTCCACATGAGGAAACACCCTTTCCAAATCCAGCTAGACCCTCAGGATCTTCGATCCTTCAATCAAGTCACCTCTTACACTTCTAAACTCCAGTAGATACAACGTTAGCCTGTTCAATCTTTCTTTGTAAGACAATTAGCCTATTAGAGATATTAGTCCAGTAAATCTTCTCTGAACTGCTTCAAATACATTTACATCCTTCCTTAAATAAGTAGACCAATACTGTTCACTGTACTCTCAACATGGTCTCACAAACATAACAAAGTGTGGAGCTGGAGAAACACCGCAGGTCAGGCAACATCAGAGGAACTGGAAAGATGACATGTCCCTAACCAAAACCGTCCTGTTCCTCTGATGCTGCCTGGCCTGCTGTGTTCCTCCAGCTCCACATTTTGTTATCTCTGACTCCAGCATCTGCAGTTCTTGCTATCATGGTCTCACAAATGCTAGTATAACTGACACATAATCAATTCCCCTCACACTAAACAATAACATTCTATTCATTTTCATTATTACTTGTTGTATCTGTACACTAACCAACCTTTCGCAATTCATACTCTAGGACACACAGATGCCTCTCCATCTCAGAGCTCTGCAATCTCTCATTATTTAGATACATGCTTTTTTTATTCTTCCTGCCAAAAGGGACAATTTCCCATTTTCCCACATTGTACTTCATTTACCAAAATTTTGCCCATTCACTTAAGCTATATCATTTATAGCATTTTTTTTGTCTTCTTCACAATTTACTTTCCTACTTTGTTTAATCAGCAAAATTAACAACCTCACCTTCACACAAAACAGCATAGAATAAAGGAACAGGAGTAGACCAATCAGACATTCCAGCCTGCTCCACCATTCAATATGATCATGGCTGATCATTCCACTCAGTACCCTGCTCTCATTTTCTCCCCAAACCATTTGACTTCTTAAGCCCCAAGAACCACATCTAACTCTTTCTTGAAAACATTCCATGTTTTGGCCTCAACCACTTTCTGTGGCAGAGAATTCCACAGGCTCACCACTTTCTGGGTAAAGAAATTTCTCCTTATCTCAGCCCTAAATAGTCTATCCTTAAACTGTGACCCCCTGGTTCTGGACTCTCTGATTAATCAGGAATATTCTTCCTGCATTTACCCTATCTAATTCTGTTAGGACTTTATAGGTTTCTATGAGTTCCTTCCCTCATTCTTCTAAACTGCAGTGAATATAGTCCCAACTGATCCAGTCTCACTTCATGAAAGTCCCTTCATCCAAGTCCATTTGCCTAAATTCTCAGATAATATAAAACTGGGTGGGAAGGAGAGCTATGAGCAGGATTCAGAGATGCTTCAGCGTGGATTGGACAAGCTGAGGGGGCAAATACATGGCTGATGCGTTATAATGTGGATAAATGTGAAGGAGGCCAGGAGATGAACGGCCGCACAATAGGGGTGGATTTTGAAAGTATTTAAGAGTGACATTGTAGAAGAAACATAATTAAGTGGGATAACTGTAGTCTTGGTAATCAAGACTAGTTTGGTATTTCTACTGTCCAATCATTCAAGTGAAGAATAATCTTTAGTTTAGATTTAGGCCATTCAACACTTGAGAAGTAAGATGAGGTCCTGGTATATATTTCATATTCTTTAAACTTGGAGAAGTAAATGGGAAGATCAATTTAAGACTACAGCAGAACATAGCAGCTTAGCCAGGTGGATTGCTCCTGTGTGATGTGGAAATTCGGGGACACTTCCAGAGTTCAAATTGACCATTTATACAGGAACAGTCTCCAGTGACAGTCACTGGAAATCCATGTTTCAGTTCTGGAATGGCTCTGAATCCACTGAACTGTCCTTAAGACCAAGACCTTAGTAGATAACATGTACTTCGAGGTATATCCACAGGCTGAAAGGGTAAACACCAGACAGAGTAATAACACCAGGCAGTTGGTGTAGGAGTCTACTGGGGCCATCTCCCTCTCTAACAGAGCTTCCATCTGGATACTACTGGGAGAGATAGCTTTTCAGGGGATTGCTGCAACAGCCACATTCATGCTACCAAGGCCAAAGGACTTGGAAGTAGTAGTAGACCATTCAACCCATACAGTCTGCTTCGCCATATAATGAGATCGTGACTAATCTGATAATCCTCAACTCCACCTAGCTGTCTTTTCCCCATGACCGTTGATACCCTTACTGATTAAAAATCTGTCGATCTCAGCCTCAAAAATGGTTAACAACCCAGCCTCGACAGCCCTGGATTGTATGTTGCCTCTCTGCTGCTAGGGTAAAAGTGTCACTATGCAGCTGCAGAACATTCTCAGGTTGGAAGGAGAACATTGTGAAGTCATGGTCCATGTCAGTACCAATGACGATGATAAGAGAGAGATGAGATCCTGCAAACAGAATATACGGAGCTAGGATTAAATTAAAATGTAGGAACTTGAAGGTGCTAATTTTAGGATTACTCACAGCACCATATGCTAATGAGATCAGGAATAGAAGAACACGCTAGGTGAATGTTTGTCATAAGGGAGTATAGAAGGGAGGGATTTAGATTCTTGAGGCATAGGAACTAATTCTGGGAAACATGGGTTCTGTATAAGCTGAATGATTGAATCCCAGCAGGACTGGAATCAATATTTTCATATAAAACGTTCACTGGTATAGTGGGGAGTAAATGGAGTTGCAGGGCAATGAAAACCAGAGCAGGGAGACCAGAATACGAGAAGCATAGATGGAAATGAAAGATAGAAAAAAATGCAAAAGAGGGAGACAGAGGGAGCAAGGGCTATCAGAAAATAGGAATGGAATACAAATAAAAAGTGTAAAAATGTCATAAGGATAAGTTAACAGGCACTATATCTGAATGCATGGAGCTTTCAAAATAAGATTATTGAACTAATGTTAGCAAAAATTGTTGTAAACGGGTACAAAATGTTTGTGATTGCAGGGACATGTCTCTACAGTGAAGAAAGCTGCAAAATTAAATCCGAGCTTATTCAATCTTTAGGAGAGACAAGGCAAAAAGGAAAGGGAAGTGGGATGACATTGCTAGTGAAAGATGAAATCAGTACAATAGTGAGAAAGGATATTAGGGCAGGAAATGTAGATATAGTAACTGTCTGGGTGGAGCTATGAAGCAACAAGGGGTGGAAACATTACTGGGAGTTGTCTATCAGTGTCCAGAAGATAGGGGTAAGTAGTAGATGTCATTAAGTAGGAAATTAGAGATGCATGCAGTAAGGTTGCTATAGTAATCATGGGTGACTTAAATCTACCTACAGACTCGGCAAATCGTCAGTGCAAACGATAAGGTTGAAGCATTTACAACAAGCTACAAATGCTGAGTGGATGATCCATCTCAGCCACCTCCAGAGGTCGTCAGCGTCATAGATGCCAGTTTTCAGCGAATTTCATTCACTCCATGTGAATCAAGAAACGGCTGGAGGCACTAGATACTACAAAGATACTACACTGACCCCTGACAATGGTCTTGAAATAGTACTGATGAAAGTCACATTGAATGGAGCCCTGGTTTTAAATCAGTGTCAGGTACATCATGATCTGCTGATGGTGTGTGCCTGTACTAATTCCTGTAACAAGGTGGCATGCGACACAGTTCGCAGTACAAGTATAGAATCATGCAGCCATAATCATTTTGCAATGACAAAGGACACTCAAATTGCCTAAAAAAATGGGGAATACAAAATCTAATTTCTCGCTCTTAAATTTTTAAAACCATTATATTCAAGTATAAATGAGTCTGGCATCTAGTCATAGCACAATTTTATGCATGTACGTTATTATACTACAACAAAGTACTGTACCAGTGTATATCCATGGCAGCTTCTGAGACACAAGGATCGATATTTGCTGCATCCGATACCATTTCCTATAATATTAATTGCATCTCCTTGAGCTTCAGTTAGGTTTGTTAACATCTTTGAATGATTGCCCCTATTTATTATGCCACAATGAAACCAAATTTGAACTCTGGCTGCTTTCCTTCATTATCTTCTGTTCCAACATGTAAGGTACAAGTGCATATTTTCACTCCAAAGTACCTGCTATTTGTCTTAACTCTTCTATGAATTAAGAGCTTGACTCATAACTCTTGCTTCTAAAAATACTTCCACTCATTTCACAGTCATACGTTCTCACCTTAACCATCTGTTATACAGAAGTGCTAAATACATAAACATAAATCAACTTCTGAGTTACTGAAATCATCATTCTTGATGACTGAGTACTCACCATCAGCAATGACTCTGCACCTCCCATTCTAATGATCAGATCTGCATGCATGCTAGACCTTTGGCTATTCTTAATTACCTCAGATCCAATCAGCCTTCTCTTATCCTTCATCAGCCCTGTAATTCAGCTAATTTCCAAGACCTTGTCCTCTTCACAAATCTTATTCTTCCACTGTCTCTCTTC